GTAAATGCAAAGGCTTGGCCTGCAGTTGTGGGAGGGGTATGTTACCCTAATTAAACCCCCCTACTCACCTTCAGCCGTCCCGTACGTGATTTTAGTGATTCGCATGTCCTGGGGCCTGCTGTTTCCTCTCTGTTCGTTTGTCCTCGGTCCTTCTGGGCTCCGCTCTGGCTCTCTTGTTGTCCCTGGCACTCCAAGTTTCAGCTGTCCGTCCTGACGTCTTTTTCTGCTTTGTGAGTTACTTACCCTGCCGTTGCGCTGCGGTCGCAGTTCCACAGCGTCTTCGCGGTTTGGGTATCTCCCCTCCCCCCTAATCCTTTTTGCATGTTTTCATTTGATTTCCATAGGTCTTTTGCCTGTTCGGTAGTTTTATTATTCGTTCCTCTTGCTGGTTGGGTCGCTTACACATGATTTTGCATTCGCCTGTTTTCCAGGTGCGAGCTTCCCACCAACCGCAGCTGGCAATTGCAGCACACGTGCGATAGGCACTCGGACGCCAGCTATACATGGTCTGATAAGATGCAGATAGCACTAGTTCACGGCTCCCCTAGCTAATACCATGGCTCGCCACAGGCCTCTAGAAGGTACTCGGAAGTCTTTATATGTGTGCATTACAAATATTACATTTGGTTTGTAAGAAATATTAATTGGTTTAGTTTGGCCAATTTTCATCCCTGTGATGTTTTGGTTCATATGAATTTCCCATGCAATTCAGGGGAAAGAAAATGATGTACAAATGCAAATCCATTTAAAAAAAAAAAAGGCTGCTTCTCCATTTCCACACCCTTTTTCCCGCACCATTGACCGAATACTGAATCATAAAAAAAAAAAAAAATACATTTAACCAATATGTGGTTAAAGAGGTTCTGCAGCAGCAGGGATTGATAAACAGGGGATACCTGTTCTAGAAAGCCCTTGCACATACAGTGGAAATTAACACCCCTATTCTCCAATTATCTAAATAAATGTGCCTATCCATTTCAGCTATATGTGTAACATATATGGCAAAGTCTATGGTAGTGAGCAAGTCCCATAATTATTGATCAGTTTAACAAACATAGTGAGTGTCAATTTAATCATCCCTCCATTAGTGCAAGATAATCCATGGTGCTGGGAGATCGTAGATTTTTAGTCAGAAAGTACTCGGGTGGGGGAAAACACAACGGCATGCGCTTATTTTCCCTCTGCATAATGCTGTATGCTTCCTATAACAGTATACTTTTGCATCCTAGAACATGATTGGAGTTTCCTTATATACCTTGCTTTCCATACTATCTGACACGTGGGGGTTCGTTCACTGAATTGGTGTACTATAGTGGATTGCAATCCGGATCTCTAAACATTTGGGCTAGTATATCCGTTTATGACATGGAGTGATTTACCGGTTACACGACTTTGCTTTCAATTTCCACGATCTCGGAATTTCATTACTTGCGATTTCCTGCTTGATAAATTGGTATGGTCTATGGGGGATATTCACTAAACAACCACAACCGGATTGTTTTAATCCCCCCTGGCTTCTTCACCCCCAACCACAACAACTAGTTTTAATCCCCCCTGGCTTCTTCGCCTTAAGTTAGTGGTCCCGCGAGGCCAACACCCATCCTCATAATCGGAGGTACTATGCCCCTCGGGCCAAATCATAGTTAGTCGCCTCGCATTGTGGCATAGAGAGGGCCTCACCTGTCACTCCCATTCTATCTCATATTTAACTGTCACCGAGAGGCCAACACCCTGCCACAACATTCAGTGGCCACGTTATCCCCTCACGCCAACGCATAGATAGAGCCTCTCAACTCCGCTTGGCATCTAGCAGGGCCTCACCTGTCACCAAACCTAGTTTTAATGGTTTCGCCTTTTTGGCATTAGCTAGTATGCCAGCCTTGTTAGCTCGTGGTCGTCATCGTTCACTTCTGGCTCTTTCTACTAACGCTTGCGGTACATGTGTTAGGGCCTTCTCCTTTGAGACCCTTTTTTTTGCGTATACTTTTACTGTCTCTTTTGCTTTGTTGTCTGCAATTGGTTTTCGCTTCTTTTGCCACCTCTAACTTACATCAACTCTACCTATCCGGATTACAACTTCACCTGCTGTACAGGTTTACCATTCATACGCAATTTTCATGTCCGCATACCAGATTAGTACACAAGACATTTCCATCTGCATCCAATTATTTCAATCACTATCAGACCTATTAGATGCCTGTCCTTATGAACCAGGCACCAACCTTTAAATGTAGGGTAATAACTGCTTGATCCAAGGATAAGTCTGACTGCCATTCTGGGGTCAAGAAGGAATTTTTTCCCTAGCTTGTTGCAAATTGGCAGTGCTTCAAACAGAGTTTTTTGCCTTCTTTTAGATCAACTACAAGATAGGGGCACCTATTTACTCTCCCTAATCAAGCCTCACAATCACAGATATCATTACATTGGCAAGTCCTCACACTACGACATACTTACTATTCTTTGGTTCATTGATCCTGAGGCTAGAGTTATCAGTCCTACTATTCTGGTCACCCATCTAGGATAGGGTGGCATCCATGGCTTCAATATAGTTCATTTTGGTCCATATATTTAATCTCTAGGCAATGGAAGTTCTCAGCATACTCCCTATATGTACCATGTACCGCCAAGACTTTCAACATGTATTTACCATATAGCTAGGCAATTAAGGTTTTCTTATCAGTTGTTGATTGTTCTAAGTTTCTGGCATGTGTCAATTTTGCCCTCTTTTATTACAGGCCTGCCTCGACGTCGGCTCCGGCACACCTCAACCGACTTTACTATGCTACTCTTGGTACGCTTCTTATACGGCCTTATTTGCCCCTCACACAAATGCAAAGGCTTGGCCTGCAGTTGTGGGAGAGGCATGTTACCCTACGTAAACCCCCCTACTCCCCTTCAGCTGTCTCGTACGTGATTTTAGCGATTTGCATGTCCCCACCCTCCACTCCTTTTATCTATTTTTTTCATTACACCTCATGGGTGGGCCCTCTTTTATTACAGGCCTGCCGCAACGTCGGTTCCGGCACACCTCAACCGACTTATTTCCCTCTTTACTATGCTACTCTTGGTACGCTTCTTATACGGCCTTATTTGCCCCTCACACAAGTAATACTTAATTTCAAAACATAAATGATCAGATGTTGGTATATCCTTCTGGTGACTAAATCAAGACAAAGTTAGTACGTAAACATTCAGGGTACCAACGGATATACATACACTCATACATCTATAGTACATTCAAAATATTTTAATCATTCCCTTCTAACAGTTCAAAAATAACCATGTGGTTTTTATGAAATATAAAATGAAGCATTTCCTACTGCAATATAAATTGTAGAGGGATACATGACAGTTTCAGATTATTATGTTACTAAGATGAAGAAAATATGTTTGTTGTACCCCACCCATCATTTCCCACCACAGACCCCATGTAATGTGAAAGTGATAAAAAAACAACAAAACACCTAAAAAAAAGGCTTGAAATATTTCTGAGCCCAACACGGTTATATATTCGGTATTTGTAAATGTATCCAAAATATATATTAATATACCCAAATGACACTTTATTACATACACAAATTATTATTATTATTTTTATTGTTCCCATAACGTTTTATATAAAAGGGATTTACAAAGAGACAATAGGTATCTAAAATCTCCCCTCTCATAATATTGTAAAGCGCTACGGAATCTGTTGGCGCTATATAAATGGCAATAATATTAATAATAATAAAGAAAGTCAGTGGGCTGGTAGACATTAGAAAAGTTACATAGATATATATATATATTTATATATATTTAAACATGGTTCCACCACATTAAACACCCAGGTCCAATGAAGAAAGTATGATATTAAAAACAAAACAAAAAAAATGCATTAGTGTACTGATTTGGGGGCTGATTGAACTTTACATTTAAAGGGACACTATAGTCCCCAGAACTTAATGTAGTTGTTCTGGTCAGTATAATAGCTCCCTTTCAGGCATTTTCATGTAAACACTGCCTATTCAAAGAAAGGCACTGGAGGGGCTTTCTGGCTTAGGGCTGCACAGTAGGCAGCTCTGCCGTTCAGCGTCCCCACGCTCTGCATGGAGACGCTGAATTTTCCTCATAGAGATGCATTGAATGCATCTCTATGAGGAGGTGCTGATTGGCCAAAACCGTGTCCTTGACGATTTTAGCCAATCCAATGCTTTCCCCATGGAAAAGCATTGGATTGGCTAAAAATTACCAATTTTGATGATGTCACCAAGAGGGCGAGGTCAGTGTCGGCAGACCTGTGGAGAGGTGAAAATAAGATGAGTTTTAACCCATTCTGAGGAGGCTAAGGGGGGCATGCCACCTAAATGGTGGGTTTTCCCTATAGGGTCAGGAATACATGTTTGTGTTCCCGACCCTATAGTAATCCTTTAAGTTAACACTTTTTTATGTGACTTTTGAATTCATTTTCCCCTTTGCTGGAAAGCACTATAAAAATAATTGTAATTTAATAGTGCTGTAAAACAAAGACCACAATAATCTTATTGCGAAGAACTCCCAACTAGAGAAAATAGAAAGATATATCAGGACAACGCTTTCTGACTATTCTCAGTATATACAATATAACTAGCTATCTTTGTATCTTTTTTTATATACAGGTAAATCATGACAAATTTAGGCAGACTGGAACAAAAGTGATGAGGACCACTTTCACTGTGTGGAATAGCGGTTCCTAACTTTTTTGGACCAAAGCACATGTCAATGAAAGAAACTTTTCCAAAGCACATCTATTTATTTTTATTTATATTCCTTTTTTCCCCATTTATTAACTACTTATAGATACCATATTTTCTTCCAGCTTTACCTGAGATGTGTGAATTCATTACTTGTTGGATGGAAATCCAAATTTCAATGGAATACCACACAAACCCAAATCCCTGTAGCTTGCTGGAATGCTTTATGGTTGAAGAATGTGTCATCTTTTTCATTTTGCAAAAACATGCAGATTTTAATTAAAAATGGGCCCTTTTCGAAAATGAACCTTGTTACACCCCCTCTCCACCCCTCTCCCTGGTTATCATTCAGACAGCAGGTCCTGTAACTTCCTAGTTGGAAACTCAAGAGACAAAAACTTCTCATTGTCTCTTGAGTTTCCAACTAGGAAGTAACAGGACCTGCTGTCTGAATGATAACCAGGGAGAGGGGTGGAGAGGGGGTGTAACAAGGTTCATTTTCGAAAAGTGCCAATTTTTTATTAAAATCTGCATGTTTTGCAAAAGTCTGTGATTGGCCAGCCACAGAAAGTCTGGGAGAGCTAGCAAAGGCTACATACAAGAGATCTACAGCTTTTGCAAACTGGTTTTAAATATATCCCCAATAAAAAAAATGCGTAATTAAAAATGCATTGCATGTTTTCATTGGGGTGTTATTTTTTTAACTTTATTTGACATTTTGGTAGTGAAGTTCCCTTTTAATAGAGACATTTGATACTTGAGGACTAAATAGCCGAGCAATTTGATGTGATATAATTTGAGGTGGCTTGAGACACACCAATGTGTGTACATGGGATGAAAATCGCTCCTCTCCCCCTCAGCCCCCTGTGTGGGCCACTCAACCGCCCAGCACCCCTTTTGGTCCCTGCCCCCTCCTCCCCCCATGCCAGCTCACCTCCATCTTCCATGCTTGTAGAGTGGCCGAACCGCAGGCCATGGTAAAGGAACTTCTGTTTCCTCTACCAAGACTGACAGGAAGCAGTTTGGTGCTGCCTGCACGCATTTCCTCTCAGACAGGGAAGAGGGAAACAGAAGCTCTTCTATCACTCTCTGAGGCTCGGCCACTCAAAAAGCTATGACCAGCAGGAGAGGAGCATTGTGCAGGGAGATCCTTCCTGCTGGTCACCCAGAGACTGCGTCCCCTAACCGGTGCACCCTAGGTGGCTGCCTAATCTGCCTAGCGGTCACGGGGCCCTGATTTCAGGTAAATTGATTATGTGCACATAATAGAGATAATGTTAGCTTTGTAATCCATATGTTACAATATTAACTATAATATGTAGATATATAATATCCAAGTAAAATATTAGGCACACTTGTGGTGGGCATAGAATAAAAAAAATACACTAGGGTTAGAACAGACACCAAAAATCTATCGCCTGTGTAGACAAAAAACCTTACACCGGCCCTGCCAGCAACGTTCCCTTGAAGGGAGACTATAAAGAAGAGAATAAGTGTTCATTGCAGGAGAAGAAAATAACTTCTATAGGACATTTTAACAAGAAGTCACATAGCCAGGTAGTATCAGTAGAAAGGTAATTAGTTACACAATTCTAGATTGCCAAAAGATTGCGGGAAAGAGAAAGAACAAGTGACTGTGATTGTGTCAGTATGTGTTAAGGTTGGCATATAGAAGGACAAGGGATTTTATTAATATAAGATGAGCTAGAGAAAGAAAAAGTGAACATTGCTGAACTAAGGATATGAGAAATCAGATATAAAGCAGGAGATACTATGATGGAAAGAAGCAATTATGTAACCAAGTAGAGCTGCTTCCGTAAAGAGTCAAATGTGAAATATTTAGTAGTGATGGGAAATGTTAATATTAGGGGTAAATTAGGCAAAAATATGTCTCTAGATGCACTCAAATATATCAGAAGGCCAAGAAACCCTGAAAAAAGAAGACAATGAGTACATTTCCCTGTACATCTAGGAGTATTGGAACATTTCCCAGAATCCCACAGAATTCAGCAAACAGTTTGCTAATTATCTGAAATGTTCCATCCGAGACCACATTTTAGCACTTCATGAATAAGTATTGGTCCTATCCTTTCCGTAACATTCAGTCCCCTATGCCTCCGGTGAAGATGGAGTTAAGCTAATCTATTCATTGTGGTCAGACTTGGAAAACTGATGAGAGCAACAGGTCAACGACTGTCCCAATAATTCACCATTCACTGCATATAAAGAAGCATTAAACAAGGGGGACACAGTAGTACTGGGCGTTATACTGTGGCATGTTCATTTCACTGTGTACCCTTCATTAAATACTTTTACAAGGTCACCAGAGGTGAGTGAAAATTTAGTTCTGTATCTTTCTACAGAACTAATGATTCATAATTTCGACTTTCATACTTACTATGTTTTCCAAAGGTTTTTCTTATTTTTTTCAAACAGTCTGCGAAAGTTGAAGGGTTTAACTTGTTTGTCAAATAATCCACGTTGTGTATACATTAACTGCATGAGACTCTGGTATGTAATTGCAGAAACACGGACAATATGTTAATTCAATAGGTCACAAGAGAGCATTGGAAGAACGTGAAAAGCAGCCTTTTAACCGGGCCCCTGCCGGATGGTAGGTTGAGTCAATGAAAGATACTACATTCCTCCATTAGTATTATTTTTAGAAACTAAAAGTCAGCATTGCAGTCTCGTGAATATTTTATATCCCATGAAATTGTCTATAATACTGGATAATTATTGTTTTTACCCACATTTATTTTTAATCTTATATACAGTTTAACACAGTGTTTTCCAACCAGGGTTCTGCAGAACATCATCAGTGGTTTCACCACCGAAGTATATAAAAATTAAGCATATGCTTTTAATGGATATCTAAACTGTCAGTCACTCGACAATCACTAGTTTAAACATTTAGCCCGACCACTGCAGTAGCAATGTGGTCAGTCAGTCTACAACCAATGCGTAGCATTTCCGAGCATTTGGCCATTTTTATAGTTTTTTCACATGCATGGGTAATGCTCATAGAATAAACAGTCTATGTCAACAGTCAGATATTGATCGCGTCAGATCCTTTAGACAGATAGGTGAGCATCCTTACTATTATAGCGTATGCCAAAAGTTCACCCAACGATTCATATGCAAATATGTTTCACTGTCAAAATGTGTGACAACTTGTGCAGAATTTTGCAAGTAGATTTTATTGATATTTATTAAAAAGAATAAAATATTTAAAGTAAATACCAACCAGTACTCAGGTTCAAATCTGCAGTTATGCGTGTATGAATCAATGGGAAAGGTACAAATAAACAAACCATGTAGACCAAGAACTTCCAGTATACGTAATTAAACATAAGTGTGACTGTTCAATTTCTTCTAACCGTCATTTAGTCAATGTACAATGTCTCTAGTTAAACAGGACTCCAAAAGTCTACGGCAAATAGAAACCTCTGGTCCTGATACATAATTATTGTTCATCAAGAGCTTGTATACCATGGACAATTATTTTACAAAAACAGAGCTGCACCAGTGTGATGTAGTGGTGATGGTGCTTGGAGTGTTGCTTTAATGCTGTACCCTAAGACAATTAATATTAAAAAAAAACAACTGAATTTACAGTATATTCACACAGCCCATGTCTGTTTTTGGTATAAATTCCAGTTAGTTAAAGGGCCAACAAAACCATTCAAAAACAAGTAATTCAGAAATTGTTCACTAATTAGCTACTCTTTCCATGTAGTTTCAAAATGAAGTTAGAAAAGTCTGCAAAGCTCCTACACAGACTTTCATAACCGTATTCACCATTTAATTCAGTTACAAGTACTTTTTATTTCTAGTGATATACAGTAATCTCACATATCAGACAAGCGTTTGGTTTCCAGAAACCATACGTACCGTTTCTAGCAGTATAACCTGAGTAATTTCATGAACTGCGACTAATGTAAATTAATGAATCTAATGACTTTGTCACTGTCTATTAATATAGGGTAAATTGGATGCAAGATTAAATGTAGCTGGTCTAGAGTTCGGTTGTACAAAACCGTGGAGGCAAAGTAAAAAATATTTTCCAATTTAAATAAGGTATTTATTTAGGCATTACTCTTAAAGCAATTAATCTTGATTTTCTAACTTTCCCGATGACCATCATCCGTTGAGTTGAAATGTTCTGATTAGGAATTGATCCTGCAACAATTATATTTCAACAGCTTCTACAGGGAAGAAGGGTCAACCAGCTGGACAATGTCACAAGCACCTTACATATCATCTGATATTTTGACCTTGACAGATATACAGTTGATGCATCAACCAACTACATTATCTCAATGGGACCTTCTTTATTATGCTATGTTCTAAGAATGTAGCAGCCAGTAAAATGTAAATGTTCTGATCCAGAGGCAACCATCAATATACCTAGTTGTTCTGTTTCGTGATTCCTTTGAGTGAAAAATAGCATAATAAAACTAGCAGTAGCTTTGCCTTGCTACTAGCTAAACTGTTGGGTTCCATTTTTCATTTTAAACTTTACATAAAAATTCTAGTCTCTTTTTTGTTATTAAACAAATGTCACACTTATTCTTGATTTACTAGAGCATGACGTGAAAAATATACGCTCAAGATAGGCATAAGGCTGGCATATATCCATACCTACCTTTATTTACTTTTTACCGTATTTTCGCTACATTTAACAATTAGTGGCTTTTTAATGTCTGTCATCATCATGAGTAGTGCAGATTATAATATTATATATGTTCCTATTCATATTAGGTATAATTGGTTAAAAAGATGGGACCTTGCTGTTCTCTCCAATGAGACGTTTGAAATGTGGGTGTTCAGTGTACCAAGAGGAAAGAGGGTCTCTAATATGTCCTTGTATAGCCAGAGTTTTAGCGAAAAGTTCCGATGTTATTTTTGTTTTAACTATATAGAACAGTAGGCAAACGACCGGGGATCTCTCCTTTATTGATCTCTCTCTGTAACATCATTAAGCTTACTATCTGTAAAACGTTTTCACGTATGTACTGCTGTGAGCATTGCTGTTGCACATAGAAGACTTATCAATAAACTGCAATCTTTAAGTTTGGATTCAAATATTGTTGAATGGGTAAGGCAGAGGCTGAGTGACAGGCAACAGAGGGTTGTACTTAATGGAATATATTCAAAGCTTGGACTTGTCACCAGTGGGGTAACTCAGGGATCTGTACTTGGACCCATTCTCTTTAATATTTTTATTAGTGATATTGCAGAAGGTCTTGATGGTAAGGTATGTCTTTTTGCAGATGATACTAAGATATGTAACAGGGTTGATGTTCCAGGAGGGATAAGCCAAATGGCAAATGATTCAGGTAAACTAGAAAAATGGTCAGAATTGTGGCAACTGACATTTAATGTGGATAAGTGCAAGATAATGCATCTTGGACGTAAAAACCCAAGGGCAGAGTACAGAATATTTGATAGAGTCCCAACCTCAACATGTGAGGAAAGGGATTTAGGGGTGATTATTTCTGATGACTTAA